TAGTGTCTCTAGGGTATTTAGAATTACTATAGAAGTTGTATAAAGTTTAGAATTTTTACAATTTCTTTAGTATTTACAATTAGAAATTTCTGTTGTATGGAATTTTTAAATTCTTTAGAAAGTCTCGAATCTTTACGATCTTTGAAAGCTCTTAAACTTTTTGAATCTTTCAAAATCATCGGAAATTTTGGAATATTTAAAAATTATAGAATCTTAAGAATCACTGGAATTTCTATAATCTTTAGAACTTTCAGATTGCTATAATTTCTAAACACTTCAGTATCTCTACAGTTTTAGAATTTTGGGATCTTTAGAATTTGTAGCACCTTTCCAATTTTTAAATAACCGAAATCTGTCAAATTTTTCAAATCCCTGAAATACCTTTAGATTTTTTAAATTTACAGTTTCTGTAACATCTTTAAATTTTTTGAAATTCCTGAAATCCTTGTAGTCCTGCGAGTTTTAGGCATCCTTGAAAGCCTTAAAAGCTTTGAATGGGTTAGAATATTTGGAACTTTCGTAATATTTGGAAACTACACAAATTCGGTGAGAATGTTAGATTTTCTCTAATTTCTATAATTAATCTTGTGCACATTTTAGATTTATTACGCAAAATTTTAAGATGACATGATCAACTTTGGGAGGGGGGGGGGGGGGAGATAAACGGTTCATTAAATCAAACAATTGTATTTTTTTCAACAATCTGCAAGTCTAGGGTCATAAAGCAAGATGGATTAATAAATCACATGCAAGAGTATGATATTTTATAAATTTGACAACAATCGATCCGGTAGTTTAGAAGATTATCCGTCTAATAAAAATCGACACAGACGTGGGCCGACGGCAGACGACAGTCAGACGGGGTCTTGAAACGTCAAGAATACATAAAAGTAGCCACTCGCTTGATGAACCTGGTTGCAATACTTTCTTAGCTTACACTCGGGAAGTAATCGTGTTTAAATAAGAATTCGACAAGACCAAAAATAAAGTAAATATATAGGGTGTTGATAAAGCAGAATACACAAAATCTTTACAAAAATTCAGATTTCTATTTCACTCATCACAGAACTATGACGTCTTCGATCATTGTTTAAAATGGAAACATGTGAATTTTTGTTTGTTCTGATGGTTTGTAGTTCGACATTTATAAATAGTCTTCTATATTCTATATATATATATACAGATACGTCCAAAATAAAATCACCAATTGGTCTCAAAGTATGGATGCTAAAAGTTAAAAAAAGTTCAGGTAAAATAAAAAAGAGATAAAAATTATGAAAATTTATGTTCAAATTCATTGTACGCCTCTGATAAAAAGATCATCTTTCGTTTCTATACCAACGTTTCTATAGGCTTTACTAAAATAAATAAATTTTACCTAGTTATCCTTCTAAGACTTCGCGAAGAACTGTCCATTTTGTTGTACGTTCTTTTTAAGAACACCCTGTATATTTCTTAAATAGAAAACATATAGAAATGTGAAATCTTCTCGGGGGCGTCAAATATCTATTTTTACTTCCCGAGCGTAAGCAAAGGAAGTATTGTAATCGAGTCCGTCGGCCGACTCTCTACTTTTACGTTTTCTCGATCTTTCATGACCCCTAGAAGACGAAGAAATAGGTCTCCCATTTCCGTCTGTCTGTCCGTCTGTCCGTCCGTCTGTCCGTCTGTTGTCCCGGATTTTTATTAGACAGATAATCTCCGAAAGTATTCGACCGATTGTTGTGAAATTTTGCACTTATATTAAGAATATCATGTAGATGGTAAAACGCTAACCAAAATTTGTCTAATCATCCCCACCACTAATGCGATGACGTGACTTCAAAATTGTACATAGTAAATGGATTTTCAATTGTATAAAATAACATAGTCCTACACATGTAGTTTACAACTCTGAATCGACTTTTCACCCGAAACGTCCAGATTTTTGGAAAAAAAAATCAAAATTATAAAACAACATTTTGAAATTTAATTTTTAATCTGCTAACCAGAATGCTTTGAAATGTTGCAGATGTTTTAAGGCTATAAAGAGCATCATAAATCTTTAGTCAAAAAATATTTGCTTATCCCCTCCAAAAACTTGATGACGTCAGCTCAAAAGTTTGTGGAATAAATCATATCTAAAATGTACAAAATATGATGAGTCTGTACTTGTGATCTATCACTCCATTCTTATTTTTTGGATTTGCATATACAGAGTGACTCAAAAAAATTAATGAATGCGTAAATATATTTTATTGATTTAATCAGGAACTACAAAACGGAATGCTCTGACATCTTGCACATGTTTTAAGGTTATAAAGAGCATAATAAATGTTTAGTCAAAATATATTTGCTTATCCCCTCCAAAAACTTGATGACGTCAGCTCGAAAATTTGCTGAATAAATCATATCTAAAATGTACAAAATATGATCAGTCTGTACTTGTGATCTATCATTCCATTCATATTTTTTGGATTTGCATATACAGGGTGATTCAAGAAAATAAATGAAAGCGTAAATTTATTTTACTGATTTACTCAGGAACTACAAAACCGAATGCTTAGAAATCTTGAAGATATTTTAAAATTATCATAAGCATGGTAAATTTTTGATCAAAACGTATTTGGTCGTCCCCCCTAAAAAATTTATGACGTCACCACAAAATTTTGCTGAATAAATCCTATCTAAAATGTACAAAATATGGTGAGTCTCTTCTTGTGATTTATCATTCCATTCAAATTTTTTCGATTTGCATATACAGGGTGACTCAAAAAAATTAATGAATGCGTAAATTTATTTTATTGATTTAATCAGGAACTACAAAACCGAATGCTTTGAAATCTTGCAGATGTTTTAAGGTTATAAAGAGCATAATAAATTTTTAGTCAAAATATATTTGGTTATCTTCTACAAAAAACTGATGACGTCAGCTCAAAAGTTTGCCGAATAAATCCTATCTAAAATGTACAAAATATGATGAGTCTGTACTTGTGATTTATCATTCCATTCATATTTTTGGATTTGCATATGCAGGGTGACTCAAAAAAATTAATGAAGGCGTGAATTTATTTTATCGATTTAATCAGGAATTACAAAACCGAATGCTTTGAAATCTTGGGAATATTTTAAAGTTATTATAAGCATGGTAAACTTTTGTTCAAAATGTATTTGTTCATCCCTCCTAAAAAAATTGATGACGTCACCCTTAAATTTTGCTGAATAAATCCTATCTAAAATGCAAAAAATATGATGAGTTTGTACTTGTGATTTATCATTCCATTCATATTTTTTAGATTTTCTTAAGAGGTGGTTCAAAAAAATTAATGAAGTCAATTTATTTTATTGATTAAATTAAAGGCAACACTTATTATTAGTATTACACCCCAACCAACCCAATTTGGTAGACACAAAATTTGTTAAAAGAAAAACTCGGTTGAAACATAAGGGTAGCACGCTTATTTACATCGACTTTAAAATTACAGACCTGCATTTGTTTTATGCGCTCACTTGGTTCCGCGAATGTGAAATAGACATGTTTATAATCAACCAATTGTGAATTTCACCGTCAAGAATTAAAATAAAACCCAATGTTTTATATAATAAGCGGAAGTCGAAGCAATAAAACCGATGGTCGTTTTGTTTACAGTTTCTCTGTTTGACTCTCACGTATGCTGTTACGCCTGTCATCTTAAATTAAGAATGTTTATACATACACGATTTTCAGTTGCCTCTGATACGTATTGTTTCGTTATTTTATTGATTATTACAAATCAATATTCAAAACGACCCAATTCATTTTCCCGAAAATTTGAGAATATAATAATTTTATTCTTAGTATTACACTACATCTATCCCATCTGATATACGTGTCCTTGCAAAAATGTTGATGACGTCATCGCAATTTTTTTTTAAATTCCCACTACAAAAATGTAATGAGAAAAAAAACACAATAGGCATGCAGTCCTCAAGTTTCCGACAGCGAGGGAAGTACTGTCTAAACTCTTTAGACCAATTTTTTTTTTTATGTGAAACCTCGGAGTCCCAACAGTTTTTTTATGTAAAACCTTGTCGGGGACCTTAAATGTCGTTTTTTTAATGTGAAACCTTCTCGGAGGCCCCACTCCCAACTGTCTTTTTTATAAATATGAAACCTTCTCGGGTGTGCCAAATGTCTTTTTAAAGAACGTGAAACCTTCTCGGGGGTCCCAACTGTCTTTTTTAAAAATGTAAAACCTTCTCAGGGGCCCCAAATGTAGTTTTTTAATGTGAAACTTTCTCGATAATCACCGATAATTACCTGCGGACGCAAATTTTTTAATCTTTAATAAAAAGGATGTTCCTAAATACTTAGAAGGGGGCTATAAGATAATGTAAGTTAAAAGACTGCCTTTAATTGCCTTTTACTTAGCATTATGACTTACAGATTAAATTTAGAAAACCTTAGAGGGTGGACATTCTCATAAAATTTTATTGTCGGATTATGAGGGGTTTAAAAGTACGGGTTCTATCGGTTACCTATTATAGATTTGAGTGGACCAGAAAAATGGCTAAAGTTTGTTTGACCACAAATTTTAAAGATTCTGCCCCTGCTTACTCAATTATTTATTAAGATATTTTATTTCTCTAAAGCGCAATGGATTTTTTAATACAATTTCAACTAATGTACGTTTTTGAAAATTTAAGATTGATCCATAAATAGTGAAAACCAGATAATCTCATACTCATCACAATTGTACACCCTGTAGTTTTGGTTTGACAACAAAATTTAAAAAACGAAAAAGCAGTCTGGGTAGGGCTAGGTAGAAGTTTATGTGTATTTCCCTATGTTGGAATATGCTTCAGCTCACCCTTAAAATGATGAAGAGCTTGTGCATATTATGGAAACCTGGTTTCTTAACAAATTCTGTGCTAAACTCGCCGATTTTAACTCCCTACTAGGTTAATCTTCTCTTTGTATTCACAGTTTTAATCTTATATTAATAAAAAAATAACAATTCGCCTTTTTTTATTTTTCACAGGTCAAGAACTCGTGCGCAGCTACACCCCAGTCCCCAACAGCCTCTTCACCACTTTCCGCAACCAGCCATACACCACCGACACCGTCTGCCTCATGGTGAAACGCTACCCCGACGGCAACGTCAGCAACGTCCTCGGCGACTCCCTCACCGGCGACACCATCATAATCTCCAAACCCCTAGGCAGCTTCAACCTCCACAGCATCGAGAAACGCGAAACCTTCATAATTCTAGCAGCCGGAACCGGCATCACCCCCATGTTCTCCGTCATCCTCTTCCTCCTGGAGCGGCGAATACGAAAATGGTACCCCTCATCATCCGCACCCCCTCGTACTAACCCTCTCGTTACAGCCAGCACCTGCGCCTGCTCTTCTTCAACAAAACCCCCGACGACATCCTCTTCCGCTCGCAGTTCGACGAGCTGCAGACGCAGGACCCCCGGTTCAAAATCTTCAACATTCTGTCGCAGCCGGACGGCTCCTGGGCGGGGCTTAAGGGGCACATCAGCCGGTCCTTCCTCGAGGAAACCATTGCCGACCACTTGAGAGACACCACGTACGTGAAGAGCGACATCTACTTCATGGTTTGCGGCCCCACGATCTTCACCACGCTAACGCATCAGCTGTTCAAAGATTTAGAGTTCAAAGACGATCAAGTTCACGTTTTCTTAGGATAGCAGGACGTCGATGGTTTTGTGTTCAGCATTGTTAACGAGCAATAAGAGATGTACAGTGTTCTAGAGCACGCGCTATGACTTTGAACACAGCCTGGGTAGCCATTTTTCTGTGTTTATACATTGTGATAGAGCGCTTTATGTGAATTGTACATATTTATAAATAAAGAAGGAGATATTTTTTACTTATTGTTTTATTAAACCTTTGAAATTTCTGGCGAGGAGGAAGATTTCGGCGGAGTCAGTCCGGCTGGAGTTGGGTTTAACATATTTTACTTTACTATAAAACTTACTAAAATCAGTCTCTAGTTGCTTAGCTTGGCCACACTGCCACAGTTTGACAACTAAAGTAGCACCAACTTCTGACACTTGTGCGGCGAATCGCAACGTCACGTAACACAAATGAATAATATTTTCGTTATCCAAATGGGTGACTCCGGTGGCTTTGGGGGCCATATCTGACAAAACAACGTGGGGTTTGCGGCCCGCAAGAGTCTCCAGAATCTTCGACTGCGTCTGCGACGTCGTAAAATCCACATTACCCAAAATGACAGCCCCCTTCAACAACAAATTAGTTCTAATTTAAACAAAAACACACTCACATCAATGGGAAAAATCTGCTGTTTATCGATCGCGATGACCCTCCCTTGGGGCTCCCGTGTGTCTGACGCGTCAGAATTCACCCTCTTAACAGCCACTTGAGTCCACGAACCAGGGGCAGCCCCACAATCTATAACTACCTGTCCCGGCTTGAGAATCTGAAACCGGTCGTCCATTTCGAGCAATTTGAATGCGCTGCGACACCTTAAAAACCAACTAACGTAGATTTGGTTTGTGTTGTGGACAATTACCTGTAGTTCATCATTTTTGCCTTTTCGACATAGGGGTCCGAGAGCTGTCTTGACAGCCACTCGTGTGAACTGGAACCTTTCGCATTTTTTACTTTGACGGCTTTCAAATGTCTCACTGACGTGCTAAATTTTCGAGTGAATTGATTTATAAACATTTTATTTTGGTTTGTAGAGGTTATGTTTGTGTGGTTTGGTCAGGTTGGCAGCGCTGTCTTAGTCGTAAATCGCACTTTTTTTAAGATTAAGAAGCTATAAATGCATTTTACGTGTTTAAAGCAAGAAATAGTAATCAAGGATTCTTAAATTGGTGCCCTGTCGGTCGAATTCTAGCCTGTCGTGTGCATAACCCCACTATTAATATTAATACATAGTTTTATATTGGTAGCAATGTGACACTTGCGACACCACTGCAGTGTTGCCAGAGTTAAATGGTAAAATTCCAATTGTCATTTATAAACTCAAGTTGATTTCTACAAAACTTTACCATTTTAGACATGTTTTAAGTTTCTTGTTGTCGAAATAAGTCTACACATATTAAGGGAAACAAGGCAAAATGTAGCCCCGCCCACCCACCCGGTCTCGATTGTGATGATTTTTTTTTATTCGTCGTGAGCCAATGAGGCGGAGCTTAACTGCAAAATCCTTCTTTCTATACGAAAAATTAAAGACATGTTTTTGAGTATCGTGTTGTTCAAAGTATACTATGTATATTCAGAAAAAAAAAACAAGGATTACGCCCCACCCATAGCTGCCCGATTTCAATTCTCAAATGTGATGAATTTTTCATTTGTTGTTAGATCGAGGGGCGGGGCTTAATTGCAAGATGCATATTTGTCTACAAGAATTTACCATTTTAACCATGTCTTGAGTTTCATGTGCAGAAAAGACGGCCACGTAAATTAAGAAAAAACGCAAAATATAAGCCCCGCCCACCCGCCCTATTGCAATTGTGATGATTTTTTTTATTCATCGTAAGCCGAGGGGTGGAGCTTAATTGTAAAATCCTTATTTTTGTACGAGAAATTACCATATGAAATTTGTTGTTAAGTAATAGGGTTATACAAAGAAAACTAAATGTATTAATTAAAAAAAAAAAAACCAAAGAGAAGCCCCACCCATCCTTGTCTCCATCTCATTCGTGATGAATTTTTCATTCGTTGCGAGACCGAGAGGCGGAGCTTAATTGCAAAATCCGTATTTACCTACAGAAATTTATCATTTAAACGTGTTTAAAGTTTCCAAGAGTTAAAAAAAAATCATCAGAATTGAGATGGGGTGGGTGGGCCGGGTTTATATGTTGCCTTTTTTTCTTAATATACAAAGTATTCTTTAAATAACACGATACTCAAAACATGTTTTTAATTTCTTGTAAAGAAATAAGTATTTTGCTGTTAAGCTCCGCCTTCTTGGTTCACGGCGAATAAAAAAGGGTCATCACAATTGAGATCGGGCGGGTGGGTGGGCTTACATTTTGCCTTTTTGTTTTAGTATGTGTAGTCATCTTTTCACAACAAGAAACTTAACACATGTTTAAAATGGAAAATTTGTATAAGGAAATATAGATTTTGCAATGAGGCTCCGCCCCATAATTGCAAAATCTATATTTCGTTGCAAAAATGTTCTATTTTAACCATATTTTAAGTTTCTTGTTGTGACAAGATGGCTATGTATGTTAAGAAAAAAAGAAGGCAAAATATAAGCCCCGCCCACCCACCCTATCTCAATTCAGATGATTTTTTTATTCGTCATAAACCGAGGGGTGGAGCTTAATTGTAAAATCCTTATTTCTCTACGAGAAATTACCATATGAAATGTGTTCTTTAGTAATAGAGTTATACAAAGAAAACTAAATGTATTAATTAAAAAAAAAAAAAAACAAAAGAGAAGCCCCACCCATCCCCGTCTCCATTTCATTCGTGATGAATTTTTTATTCGTTGCCAGAGCGAGGGGCGGAGCGTAATTGCAAAATCCGTATTTACCTACAAAAAATTATCATTTAAACGTGTTTAAGGTTTCTAAGAATAAAAAAATCATCAGAATTGAGACGGGGTGGGTGGGCGGGGTTTATATTTTGCCTTTTTTTCTTAATATACAAAGTATTCTTTGAATAACACGATACTCAAAAGATGTTTTTAATTTCTTGTAAAGAAATAAGTATTTTGCAGTTAAGCTCCGCCTTCTTGGTTCACGGCGAATAGAAAAGGGTCATCACAATTGAGATCGGGCGGGTGGGCGGGCTTACAATTTACCTTTTTGTTTTAATATGTGCAGACATCTTTTCACAACAAGACACTTAAAACATGTTTAAAATGGAAAATTTGTATAAGGAAATATAGATTTTGCAATTAGACTCCGCCCCATAATTGCAAAATCCATATTTCTTCTTAAGTAATAGGGTTATACAAAGAAAACTAAATGTATTTATTAAAAAAAAAAAGCCCCACCCATCCCCGTCCCCATCTCATTCGTGATGAATTTTTCATTCGTTGCCAGACCGAGGGGCGGAGCGTAATTGAAAAATCCGTATTTACCTGCAGAAATTTATCATTTAAACATGTTTAAAGTTTCTAAAAGTAAAAAAATCATCAGAATTGAGATGGGGTGGGTGGGTGGGGTTTATATTTTGCTTTTTTTTCTTAATATACATAGTATTCTTTGATTAACACGATATTCCAAAACATGTTTTTAATTTCTTGTAAAGAAATGAGTATTTTGCAGTTAAGCTCCGCCTTCTTGGTTCACGGCGAATACAAAAGTTCATCACAATTGAAATAGAGCGGGTGGGCGGGCTGACGTTTCGCTTTTTTGTTTTAACATGTGTACACTTCTTTTCACAACATGAAACTTAAAACATGTTTAGAATGGAAAATTTGTATAAGGAAATATCGATTTCGCAATTAGGCTCCGCCCCATTTTAACCATGTTTTAAGTTTCTTGTTATGAAAAGATGGCTATGGATATCAAGAAAAAAAAAGGTAAAATGTAGCCCCACCCACCCACCCTATCTCAATTGTGATGATTTTTTTTATTCGTTGTGAGTCAAAAGGGCGGAGCTTAATTGCAAAATCCTTATTTCTCTACAAGAAATTACCATATGAAATATGTTCTGAAGTAATCGTGTTATACAAAGAAAACTAATGTATTATTTCAAAAAGAAAACCAAAAGAGAAGCCCCACCCATCCATGATGAATGTTTCATTCGTTGTCAGACCGAAGGGCGGAGCGTAATTGCAAAATTTGTATTTACCTACAAAAATTTATCTATTTAAACGTATTTAAAATTTCTAAGAATAAAAAAATCATCACAATTGAGATGGGGTGGGCGGGTGGGGTTCATATTTTGCCTTTTTTTCTTAATATACATAGTATTCTTTGAATAACACGATACTCAAAAACATGTTTTTAATTTCTTGTGAAGAAATGAGTATTTTGCAGTTAAGCTCCGCCCTCTTGGTTCACAACGAATAAAAAAATTCATCACAATTGAGATAGGGCGGGTGGGCGGGCTTAGACCTTGCCCGTTTGTTTTAATATGTATAGACTTCTTTTCACCAGATAAAAGTTAAAACATGGTTAAAATGGAAAATTTGTATAAGGAAATATCGATTTTACAATTAGGCTCCGCCCCATAATTGCAAAATCTACATTTCCTTGCAAAAACCAGTTTAAAGATGTTTTAAGTTTCTTGTTATGAAAAGATGGCTATGGATATCAAGACAAAAAGGCAAAATGTAGCCCCGCCCGCCCACCCTATCTCAATTCTGATGATTTTTTTTATTCGTTGTGAGTCAAAAGGGCGGAGCTTAATTGCAAAATCCTTATTTCTCTACAAGAAATTACCATGTGAAATATGTTCTTAAGTAATCGTGTTATACAAAGAAAACTAATGTATTAATTCAAAAAGAAAACCAAAAGAGAAGCCCCACCCATCCATGATAAATTTTTCATTCGTTGTCAGACCAAGGGGCGGAGCGTAATTGGAAAATCCATACTTCCCTACAAAAATTTACTACATTAATAAACGTGTTTAAAGTTTCTAAGAATAAAAAAACATCACAATTGAGATGGGGTGGGTGGGCGGGGTAAATATTTTTTTTTATGTACATAGTAGTTAAGTTATTCTTTGAATAATACGGTACTCAAGAACATGTTTTTAATTTCTTGTACAGAAATGAATATTTTGCAGTTAAGCTCCGCCCTCTTGGTTCACGGCGAATAAAAACATTCATCACAATAGAGATAGGGCGGGTGGGCGGGCAGACATTTCACCTTTTTGTTTTAATATGTGTAGCCTTCTTTTCACAACATGTAACTTAAAACATGTTTAAAAAGGATAATTTGTTTAAGGAAATATTGATATCCATATTTCCTTGAAAAAAATTAATATATAAGCCCCACCCACCCACCCTATCGCAATTCCGATGTTTTTTTTTATTCGTCGTAAACCGAGGGGTAGAGCTTAATTGCAAAATTATTCAGTCAAATAAAAATTATCAATATCAAAATTTTATTTTCGTGGAATTAGTGCTGTCAACCAGAAAAATCCCCCCCTACTTCAGGGGATTTTCCTTCAGGTTGGCGGCACTGCACATTACCGCAATTTGATTGGTTAAAAACCCGACGTAAACAGCAACGTAACGACCAAAGTTAATTACAGCCGCCATTCAAAATAACATTCTTTATAAATACAATGCACAAAAAACCCTTATTTTCCAAGTTTCAGGTCTCAGGAAAATTCCGCTACTTCTGGCAACACTGCACCAATGTGAGACGTAGGAACCAGAGGCGTATCTACCCGAGGAGATGGGAAGGCAAATGGTTCGACCATGGATATTAAACCAGATTTTGCATGAAAACGGCAAAAATTAACGTTTCTGTTTTCTTTCTCTCTAGCGTACTTGTTTATGTCTTTTTCACCCATTTATATCTTCTTTCAGCCAAAAAGTTCTAGGGACGCCACTGTCCCATGCTCCATTTCCACTCCAAGGCGTCAATTACCGGGAAACAATCGACTAAATAAGCAGGAAATGCAAAAAATACTTACTTTTGTCTCAATTGTACATATCTGAACTGCAATCTCCTCTAAATTAGTCTAAATCTGTATTTAAATCAACTTTAATCACGCGTTCAAGCTTTGACACATAGATGGCGCGCCCTCCGCGTTAGTCACGTTGGCAGCAGTGCGCTACTATAAAACTTGTTGTGTTCAAACGTGCCCAAATTTTCCGGACCCCCATAAAAAAAACAGGTGTTTACACGCGGCGTTAAAAATAATTGCAGTATTTACCCGACCCTAAAATACGTGTTGTTTTCTACGCGGTAAGTACGAAATAATTGACATCGGTTTGTTTTCGTCCCCCACGCACCAGTTTTGGCCAAATTATGGCACTGCGTCTTAGATCGACTCACCTATTTGCTGTTCTAACCCTCCGAGCCGTCATATATACAGAGTGATCGGCGTAAATCAAGATGAGTCACCGCTCGCGAAGTAGGCGCCTGTCATTGCTCATTCGTGTTTGTTTTCACAGCCTCCTGCGTCTCGCTAGATTGATACCCCAAATGACGTCTGTGATTGTATTTTTAGTGTTTTGTAAGTGAAAACCGGCGAATGACGTCAAAGTCCCCGGCGGAAGCTTGAAAATACACGGGTGTAGTGACTTTGTTTTGCGTACGTGTTGATTGGAGGTCGATTTGATGCCTTTTTGCGGCACGTAAAGGTTACGATATTGTTTCGGGTGGAAGACCTTGTCGGTTTAGATTTTTAATTTTAAGTTTTATTGTATACTGGCACAAGTACATAACATGGAATATTGACAATAAATACCTTCTTGTAACTAACTTTACATTTGTACCTAACAGTCGAACGAAAGGTTAATCAGTCTATTAAGGTCTAGGGAACACAATCGCATACACGTGTTGGAGAATGACGAAAGACGGATTGATTAACCTAGTCCTACAACAACGTTTAAAAATAGGGGATTAGTGGGTTGAAGTTTGTAATACTGTGCTTGTGCTCAAGCCACTTCAACAGTTAGTAAAATAAATACAATACTTATATACACTGACAAATTAAAACATTTGCATATACAATATGTACATTTAATACCTTAGTTAACGACTAAAACATCACAACATTCTTAACCTATTCGATTAGTCTAATTTGGTTTTGACCCGCCTGGCGATTCTGGGAGTGTCTATTGTCTCGTTTGTACGTGATTTGGTGATTCTAGATCTAGACGCTAAATCTGGAAGAAGATCGCGTCCCCTTCCAGGAGCGTCGTGGTCTCGCTGGTCTCCGTGGTCGTGGACGCCACCTCCGTGGTCATCTCCGTCGTGGTCTCGTCGTTCCACGTCGTCGCCATCAGCGTGGTACTCAACTCTTCCAACGTCGTCGTCTGCACGTCCTCAGGATCCACCCTGAGTATCGCCGCGACTTTCTTCGCGTCAAACACCTCGCCGTCCCTCTTCATGTCCACCTTCACGGCGGTGTTCGAGGGGTGGTCGTGCCGGAGGTGGTTGCCCAACGGCGTCACCACGATGGCCATCTCCGTCGCGTCCTCCAAGTCGAAGAACGGGACGCTGGTCTTGTTCTCCTCGGGCTCGCCCGGAAAGGGGATATTGAGGTGCAGCGGGCCCTGGGTGGCCCTCTCCGTGGTGGCTTCCTCCGCGAACTGCGCGTTCAGCCTATCCAGGATGAAGTTGAAATGCGCCGTGGTGTTGATCTTGACGAACTTGACGCAGCGGCCCATGGAGTCGGACTTGTAGCCCTCGGCGCAGGGCGGGAGCGACTCGGGGCTGAAGGTGGGGGCGATGAAGACGGACTTGGGGGTGATCCGGCGGCGCAGGAGGCCGCCCAGGTCGCTCTGGCGGTTGCTCTGGTCCACCAGCAGCCAGGCCTCGAAGGCGAGCTCCGTGGAACGCTCGTTGAGAGGCTTGGCGGGGTGGGACAGCACACAGACGCAGGAGAAGACGGCGGTTAACACGATCATGCAAGGGCTCATGGTTGGGGCTTAAGTCATCTTCTCAGTGCCGGCTACAGGTGCGGACTGGAGGCTCCCATTTGGCTTTCCCGATCTAATCTGCAACAGCGAAAATAAACCGATTGAAAATAAACAACCACTATTGTGAGGGAGTTGGAGATTTCCTCTGGAACGGCGCCAGAAGCATCACCGCCAGTGGCGGAGCGGTGGGGGCGAAGCGATACGTCGTAACTCCGAAATTAGGCATATTTGAATTTTCGCGGCTCGCGAAATAGTAGCAATCTGACGAACGCAAATTCCCCACAAAAATTAGGTTAAATACTTTTCGCGGCACGAATACCACGCAAATTTGCACCGTTGGTAATAGAATCAGCGGAGGCTGTGCACAAGTTGGGTAAGTTGATTCATAATTGAAATGTTTTTAATTATGACTCACATGGTATTATTTTTTTCAGTTTACAAAGTTTACGAAAGAAAATTACTAATTACCAAGCTGTAAACAGTTCCCACAGTAACATTAATGACATTAAAAAAACCCACAAGAAGAATGTTATTGATAACTTAGGGAAAACCATCTCGATTGCAATATTAACGAGGCGAATTTACTTCAAATGCACCTTAAATGGAAATAAAAAAAAATTAAACTAGGAGTTCCTAGGTCGATTTTTTCTTTAATCTTTCTCCATGAGGAAAATCCTGTGATGTAAAATTATAGAGTTCCACTGAGTTTTGGTATTGGAGGATGCTAATTCCGCATTTACTTTTAGCGCTAATGAGCGATATCTTAAGACGGAGTTTGGGTGGGTGGGCGGGGCATTTCTTTAAATTTTATGTATAAAATTGTATTCATAGTTGGTTAGATAGTACAGGTTCTGCTTTAAACGTAATTTTCTTCTTTTGGGGATAATTGTAGCCTTGGCAATTTTTTAACAAAGGTGAATCCGTTTTATTTGACAATTTCGTGGTTTTTCTGAGATGTAAATTTGTAAAGTTTCACTAAATATTGTTATTGAGAGATGATAATTCCGTATTTACTTTAGCGCGAATGGACGACATATGAAGGCGGAGTTTAGATGGGTGGGCGGGGCTTCTCTTTAAACTTTTCCTATGTGAAAAATTCTGTTGGTAGTTAGTAGTCATATAGTGCGCACGTTTTGGCTCACACGTAATTTCTTCTTTTGGGAATAATTGTAGCTTTCGTAATCTCTTTAACAAAGATGAGTTCGTCCTATCAGGTAACTTCGTGCTTTTCTGTGATTTACGAAGTTTTACTGAGTTTTGCTATTGGGAGATGATAATTCCGTATTTAATTTTCTAGCGAATGAGCGATATTATCAAGCTAAATTCGGGTGGGTGGGCGGGCGGGGTATCACTTTAAACTTTCCATTTGTGAAAAATTCTATTCTTTCTCAATTTTTTTAACAAAGGAGGGTCCCTTCTATGAGGCGATTTCGTGCTTTTCTGTTATGTATACTTAGAAAGTTCCACCGAGTTTTGCTATTTGGAGATGATAATTCCGTATGTAATTTTAGCGCCAATGAGCGATATCTTAAGGCGGAGTTCGGGTGGGTGGGCGGGGAATCTCTTTAAACTTTCTCTATGTGAAAAATTCTATTCGTAGTCAGTAGTTATGACTCAAGTTCTTCTTTTGGGAATAATTGTAGCTTTACCAATCTTTTTAACAAAGGTGAGTCCGTTTTATTCGGCAAATTCGTGGTTTTTAGGTGATATAAACTTACAAAGTTCCACTGAATTTTGCTATTGGTAGATGATAATTTGTTATTTAATTTTAGCGCAAATGAGCGATATTTTAAGGCGGAGTTTGGGTGGGTGGGCTGGGCTTCTCTTTAAACTTTCTTTATGTGAAAAATTCTAGTGGTAGTCAGTTTTTATATAGTGCAGGTTCTGGCTCACATGTATTTTTTCCTTTTAGGAATGATTGTAACTTTCGCAATCTTTTTAACAAAGGTGAGTCCGTTTTATTGGATGATTTCGTGTTTTTCTGTAATGTAAATTTACAAAGTTGCTATTGGGCGATGAAAATTCCGTATTTAATTTTAGCGCGAATGAGCGATATTTTAAGGCGGAGTTTGGGTGGGTGGGTGGGGCATCTCTTTAAATTTTCCCTATGTCGAAAATTCTATTCATAGTCAATAGTTATGTGGTGGAGGTTCTGGCTCACATGTAATTTTCTCTTTTGGGAATAATTATAGCTTTCGCAATCTTTTTAACAACGATGAGTTCGTTTGATTAGACAATTTCGAGATTTTCTGTATGTAAATTTATAGAGTTTGACTGAGTTTTCTTTGTGGAATGATAATTCCGCCTTTACTTTTAGCGGCAAAGAGTTATATATTAAGGAGGAGTTTGGGTGGGTGCGTGGGCGGAGCTTCTTTTTACACTTTATTGGAAAATTCTATTCGTTGTTATATAACTATTAAATAACTACAAACAGAATTTTCCAAATAGAGAAAGTTTAAAGAGATGCCCCGCCCACCCACCCAAACTGCGCCTTACGATATCGTCCATGATAATAATAACGATATTTCCGCATTTACTTTTAGCGCCAAAGAGTTATATATTAAGGAGGAGTTTGGGTTGGTGCGTGGGCTGGGCATCTTTTTAAACTTTATTGGAAAATTCTATTCGTTGTTATATAACTACTGAATAACTACAAACAGAATTTTTCAAATAGAGAAAGTTTAAAGAGATGCCCCGCCCACCCACCCAAACTCTGCCTTAAGATGTCGCTCATGATTATAATAATGATAATTCCCCATTTACTATAAGCGCCAAAGAGTTATATATTAAGGTGGAGTTTGGGTGGGTGGGCGGTGCTTGTATAGTGAAGGTTCTGGGTCACATGTATTTTTTTCTTTTGGGAATGACTGTGGTTTCCGCAATCTTTTTAACAAAGGGGAGTCCGTTTCATTTGGTAATTTCTTGCTTTTCTATAACGTAAATTTACAAGTTTCACTGAGTTTTGCAATTGGGAGATGATAGTTCCGTATTTAATTTAAGCGGGAATGAGCCGTATCTTAAGGCGGAGTTCGGGTGGGTGGGCGGGGCTTCTCTTTAAACTTTCCTTATGTGAAAAATTCTAGTGGTAGTCAGTTTTTATATAGTGCAGGTTCTGGGTCACATGTATTTTTTTCTTTTGGGAATGATTGTAACTTTCGCAATCTTTTTAACAAAGGTGAGTCCGTTTCATTGGATGATTTCGTGTTTTTCTGTAATGTAAATTTACAAAGTTTCATTGAGTTTTGCTATTGGGCGATGAAAATTCCGTATTTAATTTTAGCGCGAATGAGCGATATTTTAAGGCGGAGTTTGGGTGGGTGGGCGGGGCATTTCTTTAAATTTTCCCAATGTCGAAAATTCTATTCGTAGTCAGTAGTTATGTAGTGGAGGTTCTAGCTCACATGTAATTTTCTCTTTTGGGAATAATTATAGCTTTCGCAATCTTTTTAACAACGATGAGTCCGTTTTATTAGGCAATTTCGTGATTTTCTGTATATAAATTTATAAAGTTTGACTGAGTTTTCTTTGTTGGAAATGATAATTCCGCCTTTACTTTTAGTGCCAAAGAGATATATTAAGGAGGAGTTTGGAAAAAGGTTTTATTGGAAAATTCTATTCGTTGTTATATAACTACTGAATAACTACAAACAGAATTTTCCAAATAGAGAAGTTTTTAAAGAGATGCCCCGCCCACCCACCCAAACTCCGCCTTAAGATATCGTCCATGATGACAACAATGATAATTTTGCATTTACTTTTAGCGCCAAATAGTTATATATCAAGGTAGAATTCGGATGGGTGGGCGGGGCATCTTTTTAAACTTTCTTTACTGGAAAATTCTATTCGGAGTTACATAACTACTGAATAACTACACACAGAATTTTCCAAATAGAGAAAATTTAAAGAGATACCCTGCCCACCTACCCAAACTCTGCCTTAAGATATCGTTCATCATGATAATAATGATAATTTTCCATTTTCTTTTAGCGCCAAAGAGTGGAGTTGGGTGGGTGGGCGGGGCAGCTTTTTAAACTTTCTTTATTGGAAGTTATTGAAGTTATTGAACTACGAATAGAATTTTCCTATAAAGAAAGTTTAAAAAGCTGCCCCGCCCACCCACCCATACTCCGCCTTAAGATATCGTCCATGATGACAACAATGATAATTTCGCATTTACTTTTAGCGCCAAATAGTTATATATCAAGGTAGAATTCGGGTGGGTGGGCGGGGCATCTTTTTGAACTTTCTTTACTGGAAAATTGTATTCGTAGTTATATAATTAAACTACTGAATAACTACAAACAGATTTTTCAAATAGAGAAAGTTTAAAGAGGTGCCCCGCCCACCCACCCAAACTCTGCATTAAGATAACGCTCATGATGATAATAATGATAATTCTCCATTTTCTTTTAGCGCCACAGAGTTATATATCAAGGTGGAGTTTGGGTGGGTGGGCGGGGCAGCTTTTTAAACTTTCTTTATTGGAAGTTATTGAAGTTATTGAACTTCGAATAGAATTTTCCTATAAAGAAAGATTAAAAAGCTGCCCCGCCCACCCACCCAAACTCCGCCTTAAGATATCGTCCATGATGATTAACAATGATAATTTCGCATTTACTTTTAGCGCTAAATATTTATATATCAAGGTGGAATTCGGCTGGGTGGGCGGGGCATTTTTTTAAACTTTCTTTACTGGAAAATTCTATTCGGAGTTACATAACTACTGAATAACTACAAACAGAATTTTCCAAATAGAGAAAATTTAAAGAGATACCCCGCCCACCCACCCAAACTCTGCCTTAAGATATCGCTCATGATGATAATGATAATTCTCCAATTTCTTTTAGCGCCACAGAGTTATATATCAAGGTGGAGTTTGGGTGGGTGGGCGGGGCAGCTTTTTAAACTTTCTTTATTGGAAGTTATTGAAGTTATTGAACTACGAATAGAATTTTAGAGAAAGATTAAAAAGCTGCCCCGCCCGCCCACCCAAACTCCGCCTTAAGATATTGCCCATTCTCGCTAAAATTAAATACGGAGTTACCATAACCGAATAGCAAAACTCAGTGGAAAGTTAT